CAAGCTCATTGTCCAGCAGTTCTACTGTTGACCAGCAAGCAGCATTCCCTGTCTCCATTCCAGGGGAGCTTCTCCATCCTAGAACCCTGGAACCACCAGTACTCACATCGCAAACTCAGCCTCCCCTTAATAATTCTTAATGGTGCGCTTCAGCTGCCTCCGCTCCAGACAGTACTTGGGACGACTCATTCTCCCGTCCATCCTAGAACCCTAGAACCATCAGTACTCACATCGCAAGCTCAGCCGGCGCTTGTGCTGCGCGGAGAGCTCCAGCTGGCGCCGCACCAGCTGCGACGCCGACGCGGGCCGCGCGCTCAGCGGCAGCGTGGACGCGTGCAGCACCACCTCTGAAGAGGCGGTCTTGCTGGTATAGTCTGCGGAAGATAGTCAGTTTTGCAGGGTAATCTTCGATAAGCCTATGTTGGGCCATTGTGCGCGATTTGTGGTTTATCTTCGTACTCGTCACCCCAGATCCCCCCAGAAAGCAAGCAGCCTATCTAGGGCGCTACAGGGCTGCAGCGATGCTGGTGATTGGAGAATTTGAGAAACTTTGGTAAGAGTAAGACAACCTGATGGCAATGTAGAATTGTCCAGAGAAAATAATGGAAAAGGGGGGTGTTAAAATTATTTCATAATCACATCACACCATCCTAATTTAGGAAAAATTTAGAGGGTCTTTTTAAAATAAATGTTGGGTTGGTTTAGACCGGAAAACGCAACGTGGAGCAGAGGGCTCCTCTCACTCGGTGGACCGACGATCTAGTGAAGGTCGCGTCGCGAGAAGCACCTGGATGCAGGCAGCACAGGCAGAACCTGTCGTGGTAATAACCCTGGATCCATAGGCGTCCTTTTGTAAAAACGACGAGGGTGAAAACAGGTGTCCACTTTGGTGATGATTTTGCTTTTCTTGAGAAAGTGGAAATCATTTCAACCTTAACCACATTTTCGTTCCCACTGCTGGTACCCTGTGTAATCAGGGACCACAGCTTGACCACAGATAAAAACCTAACCAATGAAGGTCAAGTTAGTCCCGGGGGAAAGTTAAACTGTCATTAGACCCTCAACGAAACTGTACCGAAACCGGATTGGTGAGTTGGTGAACCTAGTTAAACAAAACAGAATAGATAGAAGGTGAATGCCCGTTTTCACCAACAATCCCTAATTTTTAAGTGACCCCTATGGTAACACCAAGAATTTTGTTTTCATAGGTGTCGCTTAAAAATTAGGGATTGATGGTGAAAACGGGCAGGAGTGACCTATTATAACTAGAACTTACCCCGTTCAGTAAGCACGATTTCCCGGTGCATCTGTGAGAGTTCAACGTCGTTGACCAAGACGCGGTGCTTCGTTACCGTCCCGTCCCAGGTGGCGTTACGATCAATGGCCGGGTACTGCTCTTTGGATTCATCCTCCACGTACGAGGAGTTTTTGCTGGTTGAATCCGTCTGGGTGGAGTGGAAATTATGAAAACGTGTAAGCCTGGGCGCAGACCACCAATTTTTGCTGGCCGATAGCTTAGTCAGGCAGTTAATCAGTATGGGCATGTATGGAAGTGCGCACACTACACCGATTGATTCTTCATACAAAATAGAATCGGGCCAACTATCGGCCGACTAAAAATTGGTGGTCTGCCCCAAGTAACATTTTACTCCATTTAAGAGTTCACATTTAGTTCCAATGTGTACTT